TCTACTCTTGTACATTTGAAATTGGTGAGTTGTGATGTTTTGGATAAAACAAATACCAACTAAGGCCAATTGTGTGATGTGTTTGTCATGATAAAAATCTGAACTAAATCTTGAATATTTTCTTTGTCAAGGAATGGTTCTTGAGAAGAGAATATTATATGTCAAGAGGTCAGTGGGAGTCTTAAAGATCTTCAAAAGTTTCAAGAAGTAATCAAGGGTATTGTTTTTCACTAGCACACGACTTGAGGTTTATAACCTATCGTGTTGACATATTATTGTTTCTGTGCTCATTCCAGTTAAAAGTTGACTATGCATGTGAGTTCTATGAGTACTCAATTGTTTTCATAACAACTTGGAAGACATGGTAGGTCCTTGTGCTGCCAGGTGGCAAGAAATTAAGATTGAACAAGTTCAGTCCATATGATAAATTCACATGGATAGGAACACATACACCATAAAATATAAGTGTCATAAGGTTTCTCTCCGATTCATGAAAATGATGGGGAGGAAACGCTTTCACTAAGGAGATTTTAAATAGTTAGCAATTGTGATATTTGCATTTCTCAAATTCGTTTATAATTACGACATCCCTCTTCATAGTTTGAATTATGAGAAATGGCGAAAAGGTCTAAACATTATGATTATGACATCCATTTTCATAATTGTTTAGACACACATGTGAGCTATCTAAGGAAAGGTGTATGATTTTGATAAAGTCTTATCGAAGCGTCTCGCATCAAAAATATGAACTTTGGTAAGAAAGTCAATAAAGTATTGATTTCTAGAAGTGCAGTTGATTTCTGAATACATGTCAAAGCTAGTGGGAGCATAAGTGTTATGCTAATATGGAAATAATTATTATGCTAGCGGGAGCATAATCAATTATGTTAAGTGTTGCAAGTTAGCAATGTTAATTATAGAAAACAAAAGTTTCAATTAGCAAAGTTGCAGGGGTTGAAAAGTTGTTTTACTATAATTAAGGGAGAGAAATTCATACTTCATTTCAATCCTACAAGCTTAGATTGAGATTTTAATCAAATTTAGTCAAGTGTATATATATGAATGTTATTTTCGAATGGATCAACATAAGGAAATTCTATATATGGAAATATTATTTGCGTTCTAAAATTCGATTATGATTATGACATCCCTTTTCATAATTTGAATTATGAGAACATGGCAAATAGAAATAGAAATATTATCGCAAAAGACTGGTCTAGGATCATGTCTTTATGTAAAACATCATGAATCGTGTCCTATATGCTTCGGATATAGGATCGATTATACGTGCTATAATATTCATTCGTTTTAAATTTTCCAAATGCCTAGGGCATTAAGAGGGAAAAGGACTAGAACTAGATATGACTAAAATGATTAAGAAATTGTCAAGGACAATCTGAGGTTTACCAAAGATTGGTTGCTCATGGACACCTAGAAGTATGGTGTAAATTTTGGAAAGGACCATATTGACATATTCTGAAAAGAGGCAACTCTTGTTTAGAAGTGATTGTCAAAATAGGAATATGGAAATGTTTCCATAAGTGGAAGTCATTCTTCAAAATCTGTGTAAGATTAGAAAACTTAATGCAAGAAGGATGTTCAAAGGAATGTACTTTGAATGTGAGACTTTGTTTCCATGGAATTGGTCTCCATTGGAATACTTTATAATGTCTGTAGCCAATTCTTTGTGACTTTTTGTGCATATTCATTACAAGAGGATCATTGCATATAAGTTTAGAATATAACAAATTTCCATAAATGGCAAAGAATCTTGTATTCTTACATTTATCATAAGGATTTGGAATTGTGAAATGAGTATCATTGAAATGTTACCAATTAATCTATTCCACAAAGAAAAGACCATAAATAAACATAGTGTGCGTGCTTGGAGCATGGCATGACTTTTGTTTTAGTTCAAGTATTAAGTTGATTATTAGAAACATTATACAATGAATAATGAGTAATCAATATGGTGATTAAATAAAAGGTGTTTTATTTACTCTCAAAAGTTTTGGGGCCATATAGGATTAGTATTATTCTTATGTTTCACTTTTCATGTTTTGACTTCCCGAATAACTAGGTTATTCAAACCCTCCACAGTCTATCATACTTTGGAAGTAGGTATTAAGACAAGACTGTCATGAATGGGTATGTAGTTTGTTTAGGTGGCCTAGACATAGCTTCAGTATTCATGATTGATCTTGGAATAAGATTCGAGTATTGGATTAAACTCATGCTTATTTGAATTACTTCATAGATTTTATCATGAGTGATCATGAGACGATAATATCTTATATTCTTCAAACAGAGAGATATGAGTTGTATTCTACAAGTTGGTTGCACATTGATAATGTGAAAACGCACCAGTAACTTGGTGTTATAAAACGCATTGTTGTGTGTGATTTGATGAGTAAATAGAGCAATCATATGAGTCGAAGTTTATCCATTCCTTTTACCCTTGGAGGGATAAAAGCAATATCTGTGGGCCCCTCGATGATTTAGTGATGATAAACGTAAGTGCTCGGCCGGGCCTAGACTGATTTGATTTGTTCAATTAGTCGGTTGTCATAAATCGGAAATCGGGAAACAATAGATAGGCAAAGATTATTATTGTAATCCATGCCTCAGTCCACATGGTATCTAGAATGGAGGAATATACGATCTCTTATCTAATGGACACGTCATTGATTAGGTTAGAGTTCGACAATGGCTTTTAAGAGCTACAATTGCTAGTCGGGTTTTGGAGTCGTACTTGCAATAATATTTTTAGACTTATCCAAGTGGGATACTGTTGGACTAGATGTCTAAGCCCATAACTATTATTGGTATGTACTTGAACCGAGAGTAGCATGATCCATTTGGGTTGCATATTATCAAGAGAATTTGTTAGAATCGATTCTTGAGAGAAGGTTATATATATGATTTATTAATATATTATAAGTTATAATATATTAATATGAAACCATATGTTTTAATTAGTATTGATCAAGAATTAATTTGGAATTAATTTAGTGATCAAAAGAGACTAATAAAATCTATGGGGACCAATTATGGTAATTAGTTATATTTATATTTATATGTGATGGGATTATGATCCATGTTGGACAAAGTTTATGTATGGATACATAAAGAGATTGGGCTACATGAACCATGGATCATAAACCCATGGGTATGGTTTTGGGTTATACCCATGACCCTTGAAATCCAACATATAAATACATATTCTTAACCTAAAAAACGTGGACATGCATGTTCTTGGAGTTCATGGGTGTTTTTGTGTGCATGTAATTCTCTCTCAAGTTCCACCTTTGTCCATGATGTGTTGTGATTCCATTTGAGGCTTCCACACTATTGGGGCTAAGCTTTTAAAGGCCAAATTCATCAATTTCTACAAGCTACACAAAGAGGTAAACTTCTAACTAGTATTTTATGTTGTTTATATCATTTGTATGCTAGTTATACGCTTAATGTTTTGGGAACACCATTACATGTATAATTAGAGAAAACATAGATCCAAGGCATTTAGGGTTGATTGTGCACCATAGAATGTTGTAGTATACTAAAACCCTACAATTTTACCTAACAATGTTTAGGATATCTACTCATATAAGAGGTCATATAAAAATAAGCCTATGACCCTTCGATCATCTTATCTAGGAACAACAAGTGTAGCGTTGTTAAACCATACGAAATATGCTTTAACTGATTCTCCTTCACATTGTTGACAACCTATAAAGGTGTGTGATTTGCTAGGTATTTCTGCAATTGCATAAAGTCATGAGGTAGGCTTCCTTTAACTAAATAAAATTATTAATGTTTTTTGTGGACAAATTTTAATCCAAGATTTGGTGTGCCGTCGAGGGTTGTGGCAAAATAATTACACGAAAAATCTTGGTCAAGCTTAAGAGACTACATGTTCCACTCATTGGTGTCGATACGACCATTTGGGTATGTGGTTCCATGACATGATTTGAGATTAGGAAATCTTGTTGTAGCCGAAATTTGATAATTATTAAGCTATTTTCATAAATGGTGAATGTGGTAATTCTTTAGTTATGTTAGATAACAATGGGTTGTTTTGGTTGAACCCTTATGAATTAGGGAATGTAGGACCAATGGATTTGAAGTATTTATTACACTATTGTAGTTGGGAATGATGGGACTTATAGGAAATGTAGTGTATATATAATCGGATATGTAGGACGAACGGTGGTTGATATGGTGGGATTTGTAGTGGATATGGTAAGAAATGGTGTAGAGAGGTTAAATCATATGGTGCTTACAAAGGATGTTCATATATCTTTGAACATGACATACTCTAAATATGATTTTAGCGTCTATGTATCATCTTCTACATTAGGATTTGTTATCAACGATGGTTATTGTGTGTTGATAGTGATTGAAATTATAGCAGTAAAGGAAGGCTTATTTTTGATGGTATATGTTTGTAGGTTTGGTGGATATCTACGTGACCAGGTTTGTTTAAGTTGTGGTTGAATTTGCACTACAAGAAAAAAGACCTTTAATGACGCGCAAACAATGACACGCGCTGATAGAGGACACGCATTTGTACGTGCCCTAAAAAATAATGTTAGCTTTGCAAAATTTGAAGGATAGAGAACACGCATTTTTGCGCGCCCTACAATTAGTGTCCAAAAAAAACACGGAGGGCACCTACCATAAATAGCGTATCGTGTAAAGATGTCGCTTTATATTTTTTTTAGGAAGGCGCGTTCTCGCTTTTTTTTAATAGGCGATGGTGGGAAATGAAATCCCAAAACATTAAACACCCGCCTCATGCTTCTTCTCATTCTACAATCATCTAATAAAGAACCCTAATTCTAATGCGAGGCTGTCAATCCTTTTGAAGCAGCCCGTCTTCATGTACCTTGATCTGCACTCTCTCTCCTTTCTCTTTGCAAGCCCTAAGCCGCCATCACCAGCATTGAACCCCATCAACTCTAAGCGGCCTTCGATTCTGTAAAGGGTGTTTTTCTCGTATGTTTTCATCAGTGCTATCAGACACTACTCTTCCCTATCTACGATGTCGCCAAGTCTCCGTTGTCGGTAACTCCGTCCACGCTCTACGGAAGAACTACGTTATTTTGGGGCTAATCTCATCTGCTTCCAATAACGATTTTACGTACGAGGACGAAGAGGATGATGGGTTGGTGGTGGTGGTGGATAGAGACCGGCGTAGCTATAGGTCCAACACTTCGAGTTCTAACGGCTTAATCGAATTTGGTTCGCACCAGGATTTGAGGTTGGTGAGGCGGATTGGTGAAGGGCCACGGCGGAAAGGGAGTAGAGTTGAAATGTGGTCAATGGTTTTGTCTGGGAGTCATAGAAACTTAGTGAATCTGGGAATCAAGAACCCTATATTCTCACTATATCTTGCTTATGATAGTTAGACTTACATATGTTCACGTGGTTTCTTTTTCTTAAGAGTGATTATTGTTGCTATTTTTGCAGTCATGGCGACTATGGTTCATGAAGGATCTTATTTTGATGAGGCTCAATTTCATTCAAAGATGAAAGAGCTGTAAGTGTCCCTCCTATAATCCAATTGCTGATTGAATGTGAGAAATTAGCAAGGTTAATCATTCACATGTTGATAAGTTATTAATTATACAGGCTTTCACAGGTTAATCTTATGTCTTTATATTTTATAAATGTTTGGTCAACTGTATTTAAAGATCTATAATGAACAAATTACTGATTTGTTGGATCCAGCTCAAAGAAATCTTCAAATAAGAGAAGATATACTAAAACAAGTGTATATGTTGAAAATTTAACAGAGGAGTCTGTTAGCAGTATAAAAGATGTGACAAAAATTCTAAAAAAGGTTTGGATACTTGACTCTTGTTTAATAAAAGTTTGCCATTATAATTAGTGCCAGAGTCATCAGAAAATGTTAATATTCAGATTCTTTATTTGACTTTGTTTTATGTGTTTCTTAATATGATAGTTGTATGTAAGGGTTGTCAAATAGAAGGACAGGAGCTACAAGGATACATATGGAGAGTTCATGATCTCACAACGTGTTCACTTGTGTTGTTGAATCACGATGGAAGGTAAATTTTCAAGTGCTTTGCTTTTATGGTCCCTGTGGTATGATGGCAATTATAGGTTCAATCCAACTTCTAATTTCTTTACATTGTTTAGCTACAACTTTGTTCCCTCTAACTCACACCATTAGAAAAGAGGTGTTAAATCCTTTAATAAATGACCCTTTTGTAGAATAACAAAAAGAGAAAATGAGGGTAAATTGGTCATTTTAAAAGGACTTAACACCCGCCTCATTTATAACGGTGCGAGTGAGAGGGACTTGGTGGTGGTCTAGGTATTGGAGGAGGTTCTGGTACAGGGATGGGAGACATGTAGGCTCTTTATCAGTTGTTGGATAGTGACCAACCTTTCTTGTGTGTGTGTGTGTGTATATATATATATATATATATATATATATATATAAAATTAAATACACCATATTTGTATCTTTATTTTCTAGCTCACACTCTTTTATTTCTTCACCTTGAAAATGCAATTTTCATTCCAATGTACAGGAAGAAGAGAGTCGAATGGATGAAAGATTAACATACAATTGCAAGTGTTCTTTTCTAAGAATTTACAATGAGCAAATTGCTGATCTTCTTGACCCTTCATCTACAAATTTGCAAGTAAGTTTAGTTGTTTAATAACCTTAGTACCTTACAAGTACTACAGTTTTCTAACTTTCTCTAGTTTTCAGCTAAGGGAGGATGTCAAGAAGGGTGTGTATGTGGAAAATCTTACAGAATGTGAAGTTCACACTGTGGGTGATATCCTTAGGCTTCTAAGTCGGGTAATTAGTATTAACTATCTCATGACTCATGGTAAAATGACATTACTTATTTTACCTTTTTTCTCATTACTGTTGTGCTTCTTGACATATAGGGTTCTGCAAATAGGAGAGTTTCTGCAACAAACATGAATAGAGAAAGCAGTCGTTCCCACAGTGTTTTCACATGTGTGATTGAAAGTAGGTGGGAGAAAGACTCGACATTTAACCTTAGATTTGCAAGGCTGAATCTTGTTGATCTGGCTGGTTCAGAAAGGTGCTGCATTTGATTACAATCCTTTTTTTATAGTTTCTTGTTTTGTTACTCATCAAACCTTTTCCTTTTGTCTTAATAGACAAAAAACTTCGGGTGCTGAAGGTGAATGATTAAAGGAAGTTGCAAATATAAACAAATCATTATCTACACTAGGGTATGAACAAGTTTATTTGCTGTACTTTTTCTTGTTTTGTTTTCCTCCCATATTTGTAACATGGAATCTATCTTTCTAGTCATGTGATAATGGTTCTAGTAGATGGTGCTAATGCAAGGACACGCCATGTTCCTTATAGAGATTCAAGATTGACATTTCTTCTACAGGTGAATACTGTAAACTTTTAATTTTTTGTTTGCTGTGAACTTCAGCGTCATTTTTCGTTTTCTTATGTTTACAAGTTACACCATGTTATGCACGACTCGTTGGGTGGTAATTCGAAAACAATGATAATTGCTAATGTTAGTCCCTCGATATGGTATGTTCATATATTTTTACTTTTATTTAATAATCCATCTTTCTTGTTTTCTTCCTAATTTTTAATGATAAACCAATCATCTTATCTTGTCTTTCCATGTCAGTTCTGCAATTGAAACGTTAAACACTCTCAAGTTTGCTCAGCGTGCAAAACTTATTCAGAACAATGAAAGCAAGTTACATAATTTTGATCTTATTCAAAGCACGATTTTTAAACTTTTCATCTTGTTTTCTGTTTCCAAGGGTGTTGTAAATGAAGATGCCTCCTAAGATATCATGGTGCTTCAACAACAAATACAACCGCTAAAGGTAATTCTTTTCTTCTGTTGTTATTTTTTCAAACCCAATAAAATTGTATCAATATTCTATAAAGTAACCAACTTTCTATTCAATCAGGAGGAGCTTGCTATCCTTAAGAGGAACAATACATCCAGGTCTTTAGCATTTGGTCCAAAAGTCATTGAAGAGGCTACCCAAGAACACGAGAATGATTGCAATGGACATGATAACAAAATCCTGAAGGTTTCCTCTAAACAGGTATACTAAGTAATATTTAGGGGGTTTCATGTTTTACCTACTATTTCACTGTGCTAATTCACAAGAAATTATAACGATTAGCTACTATTTATACTTGTTTTTCAACTAGATACTAAAAAGCCGACAAAACCTTGTTGTTTGATGATTTTACCATTTTGGGTCTCATTTACTTGTATTCATTCTGTTTCTCAGCTGAAATCTTTAGAGACTTCATTGACTGGAGCCTTGAGGCGAGAGCAAATGTCGGAAGCTTCTATTAAACAACTTGAAGCAGAAATAGAACAGTTAAATCGACTGGTAAATTGTTATCCAATTTGGTCTGTAATATGACATCACTCACATATTGTATTTAAAACTGAAATTTAGTTTTAGGTTCGTCAAAGAGAGGATGACAATAAGTGCACAAAGATGATGTTGAAGTTTAGAGAAGACAAGATTCATGATCAGATCCAAAATGTAAGATATGCAAGTTTTGGTATTTAAGCTTTCCTATTTCACCCATCATTTATTAAGTAACTTCTTGAAAATGACAATAGGAAGCTGCACATGACAATAAAGAAAACAATTTTGTTAGATTAGAGGTTTGCACTTGGTCTTTTACCTTTTCTCAGTAAAATAAAAAAACTTATTATCAGTCTAAGTTTAAATGTTACATTTTTCAGTTGCACTTGGTCTCTACTTATAATATTCCAATACTCTTTTCAAATTCTTATTTCCTTTGTTAACCAAATTGTTGCGAGATCTCAAGTTCTTGCGTCGGAATTCTGGTAAAAGCACTGATTTCGATGAACCTGAAAATATGTCTATAAATGGCAAGTTTCATGAATCATCAGCATCTCAGATGGGTACCGAATCATCCGCCAGGCCACCATTGAATGCAATTCGAGACCCTGTAAATGGCAAGTTTCATTGAATGTAAGCGTGATCAGGAATTAGGGTTTAAAAGCTCGAAACTGGATAGAACACCCACGAAGGTCAATGCCAGTAAGCATTCAGAATCAGGGATGCCAATGAAAACTCCAGAAAAACAAGGAGATCTAGCTAGGAAGAGATACGGATGGGGTTCGGGTTCAAGGATGGAGGGGAAAAGCGGGACTATGAATATGAACATGAATACAAACACTCCTAGGTCATGTAGAACAGTTGGAAGAACTTTAAGTTCAGGTTATTCCGAGTGTAATTCTACCCAGAATACACAGTCTAATTCTACACAGAACACACCTACAAAGAGTGTGAATAAACCTCCAAATCCAGGACTGCCTCAAGGAGGTAGTTCAAGGCCTCCAATCAGTGGAGGTGTGCGCGGCAATGGAAGCTTTGCAGTGTTATCTAGAGGACTTCAAAACACCTACACTACTGTAAATACTGTGGAGGTACCACATATCGACCTCAAAGAAGATCCATCATTCTGGATGGATCATAATGTACAAGTAAGTTCACTTTTTGACATAACACTTATACTAATTCCACAATCATTCAACTTCAAAAGGTTTACCTTATGGGGTTTGCTTTTTTTAGGTTTTGATACGAATTCGTCCACTCAACAACATGGAACTCAGTGCTCAAGGTTACAACAGGTGTTTACAACAAGAAAGTGCACAATGCCTGACCTGGGTAGGGCATCCAGAAACACGATTTACTTTTGACCATGTTGCTTGTGAAACAATTGACCAGGTACCAGAAATGAACAATACTGAGTTCTGTTTCTACATGAACTTGATTCTCTTAATTGCAATGTGTTACAAGACGTATGAATTTGTGCAGGAAACTCTTTTTAGGATGGTTGGTCTACCAATGGTGGAGAATTGTTTGTCTGGATATAATAGTTGTATCTTTGCATATGGGTAGGTAACATTATTATATGCATTTCTGCATTTTATTATATCCTTAAAATAATATTATACATGTGTTTTAGTTTTCTTGTTTACTTATGTAGACTGGAAGTGGAAAGACACACACAATGCTTGGTGAGATCAATGAACTTGAATTAAAACCAACTCCACAGCGGGGAATGACTCCACATGGTGCAGATTCTTTTGGAGATAACAAAATTTTGTGACCTTTATCTCATGGAAACAGTCTTAGATGATGAAAGTGAGGTCTTATAATTCATATATTTACTTATATTGTGGGTACCATTTAAATACCAATCAAGAATAATCTTAAATTTGGTAATTATTTTTTTTTGTTATGTTGTTGGGTAATTGATACTATTATTTGTTGCAGAAAAAGGTTTTAATTGCATTAAAAAAAATGTTGGGATTTTTACATCAGGTGATTTTTACATCCTTGTTTGATATGTACGTGCTTGTGTGTAGGCTAGTGTCAAAAAGCTTGCAGATGTTCACTTTTCCCTCATTTGACCACTCATATTTGGCACAAGTATTTGCAACTAACATTCCTTGTTTGGTTCTTCTATTAATTATACTAGCATATTAATTTTTTGACTTTTATTTGATCAGGTCAAAAGAATTATTAGAGCAGGGGTTCATTAGTCTTAAAGAATTATGAAAGGCAAGATGCAACTCTACTTAGTTGGAATTTGATGTTTATCATCTTTGTGTATATCGTTTTAGTTTGTATAGCATTACTTTGAAGAAGGTGTCCCTTGATACGCAATGTAGTATTAGGTTATATAGTTAGGAAAAACCTCTTAATAACAATGTACAATTAGATCACGTAATATCAATGTATTAAAATTTTTTGACATGATGTTATTGGATGAAATAGATTGTTTAGGTATATATTTGTTTACATATTTTTGTATTATGCGTAAATGAGTATCGTAAAGACGCGTCGTAAATGCACATTGTAAATGATTACTGAAATTTATGACACGCAAATGCGTGTCATCTTCATTTATGACAGGAGCTTTCTTGATACGCATTGCGTGTCATTAACACACGCGTCATAAGGTTACGATACGCGAATGTGTGTCATCTTCCTTTATGACAGAGCCTTCCTTGATACGCATTACGTGTCGTAAACGCGCGTCGTAAACGCGCGTCGTAACTGCGTGTCGTAAATGAGCATCGTAAATGCGCGTCGTCTCTCTTTATGACAGGGCCTTCCTTGACGCGCATTTGCGTGTCGTCTGTGCCTTTTACGACGCGCAATGAGCGTCGTAAAAGGCTGTTTTTCTAGTAGTGTTGGTATCATGATAAGAGTTTCAAACAAGGGTATGGATTGCATTTAGATGACAAAATCATCTCCTCTAGTGTTTTTGTGGTTGCTCATTTAGAGAAAACTTTGATTGGCATCTAGAAGTATGGTTCCACTCTTGTGATTTCGTTCTCTAATCATGGAGATAAAGGGGATCTGACTAGTTAAATACTTGACATCATAATAAGGAAGAACCTCATCAGCTATACTCCATAAGGAGGTCGCAGAAGCACACGTTTCTCTGAAGGTCAAGCCAGTCTTTGGTGAGAGAGTAGGGGTATTGTGTTTTTGTTTGATAATAGAGTATTACTTCCCTTCCCCGTGCATGTTTACGCTTTTATAAATCACTCTTGTTATTTGTGCTTTCTCCACGTGATGTTAACTATAATAGATTTTTTTTTGATTTGATGGTTTTTCCCTTCACTACATTTTGTTAGAGTAACGAGACTGGGTTGTATGGAGCATACTAGGCGAATCCTCGTGCGTTGCGTGAGAATATAATTACTTAATTAAAATAATAACTTTTAACAAATTTTGATTCAATATTTATATATGAAAAAAACATTGTCAGTAGCAAATCAAAACCTATAGTTAACATATTAACCGTCATAGTTTTATATCATTGGTTATTTTCTACTATAATTGATGATTTTATAGACTTTTTAAGTTAGTATAAATTGTATATCAAACATATGTTGATTTCTATGTATAACAAATAACAAATTAGTACTAAAAATAAATACTACAACTTTTGAGTACACTTGCGTAGTTAATATGACTTAAACTAAATATATTAATTCACATCAAATTTAATTCATAAAGTTCAACAATTCATCTAATATAAATGATATTGTAACTATTTGCATTGAAACAAAAAGCAATGTAGAAAATCATACTTTATATAATATCAAATACAATAATTATAACTTAATAATTTCTTCTAGTTATCACGTGTATCAACTTTTCAATTTGACTTATCATTCAACCCTAAAGAGCACATATGTAAATACATAAAATTAATATTATTGTATTAAAAACCTCCGAAGCTTCAAAACTTCAAACATGAAAGGAAAATAATAAACTGAAAAATAAACCCAAAATACTTATTACCTTTTCTGTAACGTCCCAAAAATATGATCCAAAATTTTCATTTTTAATTTAAATAAAACAATATTCCAAAAACATTATCCATACAACCCAAATGAAAATAAATATATCAAACATTATAACAATCAAAGTGATATCTCAAAAGCGGAATCCACGTGGTGTGTGCGATGCAGTCAACCTGAGCTCTTCCCCTTGGAACCGGAAGTAATTGAAACATAAACACACAACGGACTTCGCCCAAAGAGTATAATGGGCCTCACCCTAACTCGCATAATGGCCCCGCCCACTGAGTATAATGGGCCCCGCCCCTAACTCGCATAACGGGTCCCGCCCACATACAATTCACAGTACATAACAACTAATAGCATACATGATAATCAACGGGCCCCTCCCAGTAAGCATACAAGCACATACACATACTAGTGTCACACAAACAATGACTATTCTAACATAACAGATCATGGGCCAGCCTTGGTGCCTTCGACCCACTATACATGGAGAGGAAACTCACCTCGCACTGCTGAATCACATTGATAATCCCTGGCTGCTGTTCCAATAAATCCTGAGTTATCAATAACAAATAACACCCAGGTAACAATTGGAGTCAAATCTATATCCTTCAATCCATGGTAAAAAGACCATTTTACCCCTTACCTAGTTTGGTCCAAGACTAAAGTCCAAACTCTCAATCTAAAAGGCCCAAAAACCAATTATCCATCCAAGGCCCACATATGGCCCAATTTTCCAAATTGACCCCAAATATCTACATTTGTCTTACCCTAAGGCCAGACAATTTTTCCTAGTCCAAAATACTAGTATTCAGGTGGCCCAACAATGCCCCAAGCAACAAGGCCAAAAGATAGACCAAACCCGAAGCCCAAACATGCGAGGCCCAATAGACCAAGTACGCAAGTGTACTCAACAAGTACGTGCATAATACTCGCTTGAAGGCTTGTACGCTAAGCGTACCTGCTTGTACGCCCAACGTACTCACCCTATTCAACCAAAACTCGATTTTAACACTTCACCCATAAAACAAAAAGCTCAAGAATATAGATCTAACTCCCTTGAACTAGAAAATCACATAAAGTTGCTAAATTTACGTTCATGCATGGCTAAATGAAGCTCTTAAGCTTAGAGTGGACTTAATATGGGACTTAATGCATGCATGTCACCAAGACTCCCATAAAGCTTACACCTTTATGCTAAAGGAGACCATATCAAGTTCGGATCCAAAAGAATAATCCCATAAAACGACTTAACTCTTCAAACAACCCAAAAAGGATCCAAAATCATAACAAAACAAACTATGAGGAGATATAATCGTCTACAAGCCAAGGTATTAACTTGATACCTCAAAGAGACTACAACAAGTAGAATTATTCTGGATCTATGACCTTCCTTCCAAGATAAGCACCTTCAATCTTCAAATCTTCCTTCAAAATAAGCAAAATAACCACTAAAATCTACTCAAGGGATTAAGAACACCACCAAGAAGGATTAAGGAACAAATTAGGGTTTTAGGAGGCTTAGGGGTTGGTAAAGAGGCCAACCCTAGGGTCTTAAGGAGTTTATATAGTGCATAACACCTTAAATTAGGGTTTCAACTTTACTCACGTACGCCCCACGTACCTAAATGTATGCCCAACGTACGTGTCTAGAGTCCCAGCCCACCTTCGCATAAGTATGCCAATTGTACCAAGTGGTACGCTCCGCGTACTCGCTTGAAAGCTTGTACGCTAAGTGTATCGAGTGGTACGCCCCGCCTACTGCCCAAGGAGCAAAATGCAATTTTTTTTAACAACAATGCAATAAATAAACATACCAGGTGTCACATCCCCAATTTCACGACCAGAAAAGACCGATTTGTTTATGCTTTGTTTTTAAAATTAGAGTAATCGTTTAAAGAAAATGGTTGAGGAATTTGTTCATAGTCCCGGATCTAAACTAATCTCTTGGTCTGATCCATACTCTCGGATCTAAAACTTTGCTCAATCCATACTCCCGGACTAGGGACAACTAACTGTGTCTTAATCCATACTCCCGGATTAATAACAAGTTTACCTATTGGTCTGATCCATACTCCCGGATCTAAAACTGTGCCCAATCCATACTCTCGGACTAGGGACAATTTACTATACCTAAATCCTGTTCTGATCCATACTCTTGGATCTAAACTGTTGTAACATCCCGGAATATCAAGAGTAGAGTTGAAGGGCTAAAAGTGTAAACTTGAAGGGCAACTCGACGAGTCCATGGATGGACTCGGCGAGTAGGGTCGCGACTTTGGTCGCGTGTCAAGTGGCCTACTCGGTGAGTCCAAAGATGGACTCGACGAGTAGGTTCTGAGTGGAGAAAACCCTAATTCTCGGGGTTGATCCTTATATAAAGAACTTAACATCCATTCCCCTAGCCTCTTTACTCATCCTCAAGTCCATAAACCCTTAGCATTCATGTGTGAGTGGATCAAAGTGCATTTGGGAGCTTGAAGGGTATTTGTTGAAGGAATCATTGGGAGTTTGGAGGCTTGGAGCAAGGGGCTTTGTTTGGATTCGAGTTTCATTGCAGTTGGGGCGTTCTTTTGAGGTAATATCTCGTTCTTGGGCTGTTACTCATATGGATTCATCATTTTGGGGTTTATGGGGAGCTTATCTTGGGATGTTTTGGAGTTTGGAGGTTAGATATGAGGTTGCTACCTCAGATCTGGAATGGGGAAGGTCTAGAGTGCATTAAAGTCCCTATGTTTGAGTGCTTAGTGAAGCCATCATGTCCCAAACCCTAACCCTAAAG